TTTAAAAGGACTCGAAAGGACTCGAAACAGAAACGGCAGGACTTGGGACTTGACTTGACGCTTTTCAGTTTTGACTTGGACTTGACTCGGACTTTGCCTGTCTTGACTTGAGACTTGACTCGGACTTGAGTGCCAAGACTTGAGACTTACTTGTGACTTGCAAAGCAATGACTTGGTCCCACCTTTGGTGAGCAGACAAGACAAGTAGTGGTATTCCAGATAAGTAAAAGGTGGTTTAAAACTGTTTAGATACTAGGACGTTTTAGAGTGTCATTTTCATCATTTACGTATGATTTATCATATTTTCCAGAGTATAAGTCGCATTTTTTTCGTTCTTTTTTTCGTTCTTATACTCCGGTGCGACTTATATATTAAAATATATAATTTCACATGTAGTGGCGCTTTGGCCCAGAGGCAATGTCTCTGTCATTGGTGTGGAACCCCAGGGTTCACCTCCTGGGCAAAGTTTGAATCCCGGTTAGGGCGGTTGGTACCTTCCAGTGAACTCACTACCTGACAGCCGCTAGAGGGCACTCTAGGCTTGTGTACCAGTATCTGCTACTCCTGTACCACTGAAAATGTACATGTTTGTTATTTTCACACTGACAGCCGCTAGAGTGCACTGGTGCGACTTATACTCCGAAGCGACTTATATATGGGGGGTAGAGTGCACTGGTGCGACTTATACTCCAAAGCGGCTTATATATGGGGTTTTTTTTTCTCCTTCATTACGCATTTTTTGGCTAATGCGACTTATACTCCGGAGCGACTTACAGACTGAAAATATGGTAGTTACATTACTACCTAATTCTATGCAAAGGCTTTATAATTACTGTATTACATATTTCACCACAAATTATTATTTGTTGTCGCGAATTTCTTTCATTTAACACATTTGTTTAAATAGATTATTTGAACATTGTTCATCATGATGATAATCACTATATAAGTCATTGACAGAACAGTTACGGTGGCCTTTTCTTACTTACTGAGACACCTTCAAACGAGCTTGTGTTAAGGGCACGGTAGATCTCAGACGTTATATCATTATTGTTATAGTTGAAGTCCTCGAGATGTCGGCCCTTGGCCTTCAGTGGAGCAACAGTCTTATTGAGAGCAAGAGCCAAGGCCCACACTGCATCATAGGCCAAAGGAGCCTCCTGAAAGCCACCAGTCTCCTCGGGGTTCATTCCTCCCAGACGAGACATCAAGGCAGAAAGAAATTCTTGGGATGTCTAAAAATGTGACACAAATGACATATAAAGTAGATATACATATATATTTGAGCTGTCAAAATTTAAAAAAAAATGTTGTAATTCATCTGTGAAATATTTTTGAGGATTTTCATTTTGACTGACTGTGCATTTTAATGAAAACTATTAAGCTAAATTTGGAGATTCCCTTTCCAATAGTTTTATTTGAGATATTTCTACGAAGCACAATTTATTTCCCATGGCTCAGTGTCAGCAACTTACAAATAAATAAGATTTTTAAAAAAAGAAAGCAGCAGCAGTTACCATATTGGAGACACCACGGACTGTCTCAGGATTTAACATGACGATCTCAGTGGTCACATGTCCTTCTACCGCTTCTGTCATATTCTCTATGGTACAATTGATTGCAGGATCTTTGATCTTGAACCAGTTGTCTGCATACCAGCCGATCAGGAACCAGACATACTTTTTGCCATAGAGCTTCTCCTTGAACACCTGAATCAGAAAAGTGGAGAGTCAGCACAAAACTCAGATTCTTCTACTAACCATTTATGGAATGACCAGAGCACTAACCTCACAAAAAACTTTCCTGGCTTCGGTCTCATAAAATAGTCCTACAATGATCCTTGCATCCTGGCGCTGCATCAAATAGAAAAATAATTTCATTTGGCCAACTAAACAAGACAAAAAAATACATATATATCTTTATGTGGTGACACATCATTCCAAAGTTTCCACAACGTCAAATCACTTCAACAGAACTGTTCAGCAGTTCATGTTATTTATGCGATCAGGTTACTTCTCAGTGGATTCTCAGGCGTCCACTGTAGAGGCTTATATGCAACACGGCCATCAAAACAAGTTAATAAAGTCTTATCTTGTCTCACGGGATGGGGGTCGAGCAAAAGTGGGAAAAGTGTCAAACCACCTGCAGTTTTGGCAAATCTTAAATAAATCACCTTGAGGTTCTTGACAGCTACAGCTGGGTCAGTAAGGAAACTTTGGCGAACACTGATCTCGATACCAGCCTCTTTTACCCTCTGCTCCAGATCATCCAGAGTCTGCAATATAAAAAAAAGGAGATGAGGAAACAGTTGTCAAGAAATTGGGGCATTTTGAAAAGGTTGATATTATACATCTATGATGAAATGCAAAAAAAATTTGAGTAAATGCACCATCAGTTAGAATTGATTGAAAGAGAATGAAAGAAGGCTGTGAGAAAAGAAAGGAAAGAATGTACTGTAAGAATGGGATTCTTGCAAAAGACAACACAAGTGGTCCACCATCACACATGGAGCCATGGCTGAATATATCAAACATACAGTATGTATTACTTGCACATAGTGACTTAACCCTTTCATGCATGACGGTCACTACAGTGGACAGCTATTACAATGTAATTTTCTATGATAAGAAGGCGTCCACTGTAGAGGCTTATATGCAACACTGCCATCAAAACCTATTCTTATCATAGAAAATGACATTTTAATAGCTGTCCACTGTAGTGACTGTCATGCATGAAAGGGTTAATACAGGCAAGTTGGCCAGATCCTAGATCAGGCATGGGCAAACTAAGGCACCGGGGGGCAGGTTGCGGCCCGTTCACCTTTTTAATCCAGCCTGCCAAACTTTTCCAAATGATATAATTTATTTATATTACCACTATACTTCTGCCTTTTCCCTGCAATACCTACATTTCCCCAACAGATAGTGTAGAAAATGATAAAATCATTTTAGCGTTTTAGGCTTTATTATGACTTTTACGTGTCATTTATCCTCATAACAACGCTTCATCTATCTGCTCCTGACCCGGCCCCCCTATTCAATTTTAGGACAATTGTGGCCCACGAGTCCACATGTTTGCCCGCGTCTGTCCTAGATAATTTAGGTGTTAAGTGATGCAAATAATAATACTGGCATTAATAAAACAAAACCCCCAAAAATCTGAAATTCTAAAATAAACAAACAGTAGTAGATAGTAAAGTTGACTAACCGAGGTAAAAACTTCAGTGGTTTGCTGGATGGTAGCGATGCGAGTCCACTTCCATCTTTGAAATAGCTGTACTCGGGTAGGGTTGTGGAGTGTGGCAGACGGATGTGTGCGAAAGAAGGTAGGAAAACGCTGGCGGTTGGATAAAGCTGGAGAGCTGGAGCCATAGGAAAGCTTAAGAGGAAAAAATAGAAAAAGATAAAACATTACAGGATGTAATTGTCAACAGGAATTGGAATCATTTTTACCTATAATGACCAAAACAAATAAGGACAGCAACTGGAACTGGTAGTCACAGAGGTATGCTAGGGAATGAGTTTGTTAAGTTTCCTGAGTGCATGTGTGAGTGTGATGCACATTTAATCCTTATTCCTTAAGGATAATAAATTTAAAAATAAAAATACTTGTTTGTTAGTTTGTGAAAATGTTACTCTACTAACCTTACCACACATCTACATACATATCTATGTTTAAGCTTTATCCTCAAATTGAACATGTTCTTCCCAGCAATTATTGGCTAACAGCCTTTCGGCTGAGCTGTGTGAAAAATTATGGCCAGGATGTGGGTCTTTTGTTTTGGTTCAATTTAACCTCTTAAGTGTAACAAAATTTGTACGATCTCTCCAACTGTCTTGTTACAGATGAGAAACCATTATCTAATGCAGTCCTTCTCAAATAGGGCGGCGGGCCTCCCTTGGGGGGAGGCGCGGTGAGGTGCTCCTGGAGTGCTGCTGGTGCTTTGTGACGATGTGATTGGCTGACTGACTGTTGAGCTGTTGGTGTCCACGCCTGTGGACGTTGTCAGAGTACCGTTGCCACTGTTTGTGGTGCTAGAACTGGAAGATGTCGGGCCCGTGCTTGCCGTCGAGTTTCCGTCTGTGGTTGTGTTGGGGGGGACGGGGGGGGGGGATAAAAAACTTTTTTCCCCCCAGGGGGGGGGGGGGCATGACAGAAAATAATTAAGAACGTCCTGATCTAATGTGTCATGTTTTAAAATAATATCACTCTTGTTTATTTAACCTAGGCTAGAGTTGAATGGTGTCAATGCCATATATCCTCGGGGAAGACGTTGTTTATTCAGCCAGGGGACAGCGAAATGGTAAGTAAGTAAGTAAGTAAGTAAGTAAGTAAGTAAATAAGTAAGTAAGTGATCAAGAAAAACAGGATTGCTGAAGAATGTTGTGTAGTAGAGTCTGACTATCCATCTCGAGTTTTTTTTTTATGCCATACGCACAAGGGAAAGACGCATAAGGAATATTATTATTAATAGCATTACTAGTATTACCAAACAAAACTTTTGACCACTTGAGTTGCCAGAAATGAACTTCACCAAAAACCATGACAAAAACATTCAGGTTTGTATCTAACCACGGACTAATTGCATTTTAATCCCTACACACCAACCTCATGTATGTAAACTGACAAATACAAAATCGTAACTAGTATCAGAACCTATTGGTTTAAAAGGGATATTTGTTGAGTTTACAACCGAAACGAGCTTACCACTATGAGGTTCCACATGCGTGCGGCTTCAGCTACAAGTGTTGAGACGCCACTGCATCCAGGCATTAGGACTATCTTGATGGGCTCAGTATACAGAAGGTCATACAACAACTTGGTGGCTTCCCCTGGGTCACACTGCATGGGGTGAAGATAACGATAATGGTGGGTGAAAAAAATATGTTGGGGCAGCTTAATAATAAAGATAAGGAATAAGATCGAGAAAGAAAGACTAGACAGGGAAGAAAACGTGCTCAGGCGTGTTCAGAAAAGACAATGTCAGCACACAGGTCTGCTGTCTTATATGAATAATGTGTTCATTTTGAGTCAATTTTGCATACCTTGCTGTGAAGCTTTAGCAATTTTCGCGATGTAGATCTAGCAATATACAGTAGAGCCTTGAGGTACAGGCACCTCGACATACGAGTATTTCGAGATACGAGCAAGCCCTGGAGTAAATTTTGGCTTTGAGATTTCAAGTAAAGATTTGAGATACGAGCAAGCTTACTGATTGCTTCTGTGATTTTGTTCTCTATTTTGTGCATTATTCTTCATAATAGTGATGAGTCCTAAGAAAGTGAGTGGTAAGGACAGTAGTGAGTAAATAAATATGAGCAAGTGAGTGATCTAGCACGCATGTATGATCGCGGTACATCCACGATATGTACCGTCCTAAAGTAAAAAAAAAAAAAACGAAAGGAAAGTTAATGAAGTTTATGTAAGTTTCACGCCATTTGCGGAGGTACGCTACTGTATCGTCTGTCTCGAAGGTAAGAACTCACAATTAACCCTTTCATGCATTACGGTCACTACAGTGGACAGCTATTAAAATGTCATTTTCTATGATAAGAATAGGTTTTGATGGCAGTGTTGCATATAAGCCTCTACAGTGGACGCCTGTGAATCCACTGTAGAGGCTTATAGAGGCTTATAAGTAGAGGCTTATATGCAACACTGCCATCAAAACCTATTCTTTCCACTGTAGAGGCTTATATGCAACACTGCCATCAAAACCTATTCTTATCATAGAAAATGACATTTTAATAGCTGTCCACTGTAGTGACCGTCATGCATGAAAGGGTTAAAACCACATTTTATTTTATATCACAGGAATCTTTATATACTATACTTTGTTGTGTGTGTGTATATGTCTCTAGAGCAGTGGTTCTCAAACTGTGGTACGCAGTTTTCACATTTACATTTTCAATGTAAACATACCATGCACAATTAATACAACATTTAGAAGAAAATGTGTAGCTACTTGTGAGATTATGGAATAGGACGTCCGGTCTTTTTATTTATTTACTTGTTTTTTTTTTTTTTTGCTGCAATGCAAGTCTGTTGCTAACATAAGCACAGGCAGCACAGAATCATGTTCAATTTTCAGGTGGTACAGAGTATAAAAACTTTGACAAACACTGCTCTCAGCCATTTAAAAACATGGTTTTTCCATTGTTATTAGCACTAATAAGCGGCCGGAGCGGATTCATTTTTTTTAATGTTATTTCTTACGGGAAAAAACAATTCGAGATACGGGCACCTTGAGTTACGAGCTTGGTCCTGGAACGGATTATGCTCGTATCTCGAGGTTCCACTGTAGGACTATTTCACGTTAGACAGACTGCGGTTTTAATAATTATAATTATAATGAAGTTGCAATCAAGTATTACATGTACCTTTATTTATGATTTCTGAGTTTTCCCTATACTCGTTTCTTTTAACCCGCTTGTTGTCCTTTTGGTCTAGTGCAGGCGTGGGCAAACTCTTTGACTCGACACTCTTTTAAGTATTCATGGTGTCATGGTGAACAGGCTTTTCAGTACATCACTGTGTATTAAGCCACTGTATCAACTTCTACATGTGCATGTATCTTACTTACCATGCTGTCATAGTGGATGAGCTCCAGCTCGTAGTCAGGCAGAATGTCGCTCCTGTTGTTGACCAGGTCCAAGGCCATCTGAGCAGAGGGCATGCAGGCCTGTCCACCTGGCCAGCCGCCACTCATGGGGAACAGTGCTCCGCTGT